TCGACCAGACATTCCGGTCGAAAACCAGATGCCTGGCAACCATAGGAGGAATGTGTCTAATATGGTGGTCTTTCACCTTCAGTTACAGCGTCTTATGCCAAATAGTTTTAGTTACTTACAAAATTTCAAGTGTCTAACGGGCTGTAGTTGACTTAGAAAGATAGCAGAAGAGCTAGCATGCACTCTGGCCTAGAGACAACAGCTCACACTGGTTTTTCAGGCTTCATCCATTGCAACATGTCCAAAATATTTCCAACAAGGTATTAAGTGATCTTATCCTCAACCAATAAAAAGATATAAGCCTTACATCAGAATATATTTTTCTTGGTATTGTGCATCCTGAGGGTAGGAAAAGGCTACCTAGCAGCCACAGCTATCGGACTGTTTCGTAGATATTGCATATGCCACAATAGTAGCAAGTATGGGGCTTGTTAGTAGATATGTTCGGCATGGAATCAAAACTAGTTCTGGCTAACCTATGAGACACCTATTTCAAAATGAGCTGTAGTGTGCTACTGATAGACTGTACGTTCAAAGGGGGGGAAACTCTGTAACCACAGTTTAACTCTCTGCGAAATCAATTTCAAACTTTCTTTAGAAGCTGACCAGTTAAGATCAGCCCTCCTCTAGACCCGTCGGCATGGCTGAGCAGTAGGTTGTTGCATTGCCAAAACTTTCTGTGCGACAGTGGCATCTAGTGGCAGATGAACATGAAAATACTGTGTCCTGACTCATCTCTCAGTTGCAAAATCAATGGGACAAAAAGAAAAGCATAACCCTGCACACTTGAACTGTGGATCTGTTGTAGCAAATGTGCAGCGAATCAAGCATGACTCCACCTGGCTCACTTGTCTGGTCTAGCCTGATGCTTTCAATGGGGAGCAAACGCCTGGTAGCTGTAGTTGGACACATACTGCCGAAGGGAACACCTCTGCTCTAATAGGATTAAAACGTGTATAATCTTTTAAAAATTAAAATGGTAACTGTTGAGTTGAGTGAGCGTGATGTGTGTCTCGGTTTCAGACGGGAATGCGGTAGTACATACGGGTACGTGTATGGAACAGGGCTGCAGATTCCAAAACCTTAAAGGAGTGTTCTGCTCTGTTGTGCACTAGTGAGACTTTAGATTACTGCTGCAAGGCTGTGTCAGTACCAGTCTAGCAATTCCCCTTTCCTGCAATGGCTGACATGTGGACTCTGTCAGTTATTCAGCTGTATGACCCATCTGCTGCCTCTGGTTGATGGTTTCTCTAAAAACAAATAATAAAGTACAGATGGGTGGGTCCTGCACCTGGCTGTGGCAGTGTTGCAAGATAGGACTTCGGGTGCCTCTGCCATGACTGTAACTCCCAGGAGCAGTAAGGGATACCCATGGATTTGATGGGGCTGCCAGTGTTCCTGCACGGTCGTATGAGCATTAGCCTCCCGCCAGCCCAGCAGGAAGCTGCAGACATATGCAGCATACTGCTCGAACAGACTGAGCTACCTACAACAAGGGCATGAAAGGCACAATCTTGCAGGCTAACGCTCTTGAAGGAATCTTATTTAGTCCTGTAGGCCAGACCTATACAGCTCTGTGCAGATGTATATGTTTTTCCAAATGACACCTCTGAAATGTTGCAATTGCATGTAACATATATATTCCTCCACCCCCACCAACAATGATCAGGTACCTTTAGATTGGTGTTGATACAGGATGCGGAAATTTTGTGACTGCCAGTCATGATTAGTGATAAGGTCAGCAAGAGCACTTGAAACTATGCAAGCTGTAGTGGTGGTTCAGTTTACTAAGACTCAAGTTACCAGTTAGTATTTAGACACCAATATATTTTAATAGAAAAGTCTAGCAGATATAGAAGTGTCTTGATTTTGACTTGGTCTAATACAAATTCCTGGCTTCTCAAACTTGCAGGGTGCTGTGATAGTGGTCAATGGGTGTGGCTGGTATGTAACACTAAATGCAATTTCCCTTTCCAGCACTTAAATACCAAGGAATAAGCACCACAGGAAAATATATGGGCTGCCTTTAGGAGTTAACTAAACTGTTGTAAACAGAAATTATGGGCAGCTGCCTGAACCTTTAACTCTTTAACTGAACCTTTTAACTCTGCAGAGTTGGAGGCAGACTTGATACTTTCCTTGCTGTGTACCATTGCATAAGACATTTAAAATTTAACTGAGCAAAGCACTAGAAATACTCTAGGGACCCTTCCTCAGTTGGCAGGAAATGGGACTCCATCACCTAAAAAGAGAGGAAACGTTCAGATGTCTGGTCTGATTCTATTTTAGTACAGTCTTAGGAGAATGCTATCATATTTTTCACCAGCCAGATCTCTGTTACACACTTAATTTTTCTATTTTACTTGTTTTAATGACTGAGACTGTCATTTGCCTAGAGTCAGGCTTAGTGGGAGCAGGTGCTCTTAGCTTCTGCTACACAGCTTTGCCAATGTACCTCTATCATGGCCCACTCTTTCTATTGTCTGCTTGAGTGAGGCCCAGACTGCCAGCTGTGTCTTAGCAGTGTCTGATTTAGTCATGTGGTAAGAGGCCTGCTGGGAGGGAGGGGGGTAGGCTAAAGTGAAACCCCCAAACTCACTCATTTGAACAAAGGCTTTGAGATGAAGGGCTACTGCTTTAACCCTCTGCCTCTATCTAGGCATCTAACACACCTATGTCTGAAGTAGGAGTGCAAGAGGCTGCTAGGTAACCTCCTGATAGAGATGTTTGCCCATTGCTTAATGCTTTTATTGTAAATGTGCTCAGGCCCAAAGACCTTCTCTTAGTCTGTTTTGATTCTTTAAAGTACACAGACTGTTTTTACATAGAACTGCAGCAAGTGCTGGTGCTATGACTAACCAGCATAAATTCACAACAGGGTAATTGCTGCCTGTTCAGGATGTACTAGGAATTTTTTTTTTCATGTACAGAGTAGGCGCCTAATGAAAGTGGAGGCTACATATAGCGCTTTTTCTTCCTTTAATGGGCTTGTATTTTTGCTGTTTGTATTCGAGCCTGCGTATTCCACCCTCCCTGAACCAATCAAGCACTGCTAGCTTTTAAAAGAAACAATAGCCAAGTGATTAGTTTCACCCTGGCAAAGGTATTTTGGAAACACATGGCCTTTGCACCCATAAGAGTATGCTGCTATTCCCTGTAGTCAGCTTGGTTTAGCACTTTTACAAGTGTTCCATTAATGCAATTGAATGCTGGCACAGAGGGCTTTCCGTCTGAGTGCTTTCCTCATGCAAAGAGCTGTGGCGCATGAAAAACAGCAGGGCACCTCTGTATGGAGCAGAGCCTCCAGGGGCATTACAGCTGAAACAAGGCAGCATTCTTAATTAGTTCTGTCCCCCAACAGAACCCCCTCAGAGTAATGCTGTGTCTGGGATGGTCAGTGTTCCATTAAGGGATATTTGGTAGGATGTTTTCTTACAGTGTCTGTCCTTTATGGGCGGGAGCAAGCTTTCACCAGCATTAATGCAGTGGGACTGGACTGACAGTTCTCAAGTAGCGTGTGGACTGGGACTCGAGAGATCTTTATCTATGGAAGTAAATCCAGATCAGTAGCTTGTCTCCAGGTGAAGCTAAAATATAAACTGTATGTACTGTGTGGTTAAGTACTGGAAATAGTTGGAATTCAAGATAATTATCTTTATGGCTTTTTATAGCCCCCCAATCAGCGCTCAAATCTAACTTTTCATCAGCAGAAGTCTGATGGGGGGGGGGGGGGAATGCTTTATTGACCAAACTTGTGGCTATTAATAGGTTATCAGGGAAGGACTTTTGTTCCAGGAGAGAGGAAATGCACTTGGTAACTTGACAGCTGGCTGTTTTTTAATTCCAGACTTGAGAAATCTAGCTGGAGGGGAAGAAAGGCTGAGCCCTAACATGGTAGGTTCTGTCTATGAAGATGGCACTCTGCTTGGTTAAACAGGGTTGGACTGTAGCCTAAGCTCTCTTTACAGTGCTGCCACTGGGAATGTAAACTTCACTACCCTCCAGGCTCCCTAAATCCAGAGCACTGAAGAGCAGCAAGTTGGCTCCCTCCACACCTGAAACCAGCTGGCTTTGTGGGATGCACTCTGTTCCCCACATACCTGTGGTGTGATGAACAGCATGTTGGCTAGTTTTAAAGGGGAGGGGTGTGCTCACTGGGAATGTTGTAGCCTTTTCCATTCAAATACTTTGGAAGGAGATTCAGCTTCCTCTAAAACTGAGGGACACGGCAAGCAGACTGACTCCCTGATCTTTATCAAAAATCCTTGTTTATCCAAAAGTTTTCAAACGTCTTCACATAAATGGGACTTAACTGTTAAACATGGTCTATGTCAGGAACTTTTTGGGTATTTCTATGCTGTTGAGCCTATGGCTCAATAGAATTCTGGTTCAGATTTTTAGCAACATTTATAAACTACGTCCTACTTCAGACTGATCCTTTTCCAAGCATTTCTAGAGGAAGAGTGCTCATTGCCCTACTTGACCAAAGTAGCATACGAGTCGCATGGTTCATCTTAGACTAACAACTTTCACTGCCAAGTGACTAAACTATGAAGAGTTTAAACAATGTGTTGTAGTCTAAGGGCTTGGCTACACTTCCAAGTTAGAGTGCATTAAAGGAGTGCATTTACCAAGCGCACTAGCTCACTACCCGTCCACACTGGCAAGGCATGTAGAGTGCTCTGACTCTGCAGCTGAAGCGCTCCTGGTACTCCACCTCGGTGAGTGGAATAACATTTGGTGCGCCCCCGCTGGAGCACCGTGGCACCAGTGTGGACACCCTGGTCTGTTAGTGTGCTCTGATCAGCCCCCATAAGTGTCCCACAATGCGTGTTCTAGCCACTCTGGTCATCACTTTGAATTCTACTGCCCTGCCCTCAGGTGACCAACCGTCAGACTTGCCCTTTAAATTCTCTGGGAATTTTGAAAATTCCCTTCCTGTTTGCTCAGCCAGCCTTGGAGTGCTCTCAGCGAATCTTACCCGGTGACTATGCCTCCAGTCACCAGGCGATCCCCAGTATGGAGCAATGGTGAGCTGATGGACCTCATCAGTGTTTGCGGGGAGGAAGCTGTCCAGTCCCAGCTGCGCTCCAGCCATAGGAATTATGATACCTTCGGTCAGATATCAAGGGACAAGATGGAAAGGGGCCATGACCGGGACGCACTGCAGTGCAGGATTAAAGTGAAGGAGCTGCGGAATGCCTACCGTGAGGCAAACCGCTGCTCCGGTGCTGCCCCTTCGACCTGCCATTTCTACAAAGAGCTGGATGCGATACATGGGGGTGACCCCACCTCCACTCCGAGGACCACCATCGACACTTCAGAGTCCAGTGCAACAAGGCAGGGGGAGGAGGAGGAGCAGCAAAGCGGGAGCGAGGGTGCTGAGATGGAGGAAGACACCCCGGAATCCCTAGATGCATGCAGCCAGCAGCTGTTCTCAAGCCAGGAGGAAGGTAGCCAGTCATGGTGGCCGGTGCTTGTGGAAGGACAAACACCAGAGGAGGTTCCCGGTAAGCAGCTTTTATTTTGGGAAGGAAGTTATTCGGTGCGGGCTCTTGGGGCGAGGAGAGTTTGGGCTGCATGCATGCCTAGATGCAAAATAGGGTGTTGATGTGCTCTCTCACATCGCGGTAATTGGCCTCAGTGATCTCTTCAAAGGTCTCATCCAGAACGTGGGCAATGCACTTGCGCAGGTTTCTCGGGAGAGCCACTGTGGTCCTTAGCCTTACTGGGACAACTTGTCTACACCACTGTGCCATGAGTGGTGGGGGGACAATTACTGCACACAGGCAAGCTGCATCTGGGCCAGGGCGGAAGCCACACTGCAGTAGAAGACCCTCCCTTGCTTCCCAGGTCACCCTCAGCAGCAAGATATCTTCCAGGACAAACTCCTGTGGAAAATGTGGGGACAGTGTTCAGTATAGGGGCCCCCTGCTGTTGTTGGCTCTCCCCAAGGCACAGAAACCCAGAGGACAGTACAGCCGTGAAACAATCACCAGCACCAGTCACGCTTGACCCTGTGCTTACTCACCATTTTGTGAGTTGTGTGCTCGCTTTGGAACGGGCAAATTATGCTATTGTGTAGACTGTGCTTGCCCTTAAGTACAAGGAATCATTGCTCTGTCTGGTGTGAAGAATGCTGCCTCTGTTAAGTGTTGCATTTTGCCTTTACAGATGCAACCTTGAGATCTCATCCATCCATGTTATCACCGGCTGAAAGACTCGAAAGACTCAGAAAGAGGCCACGTAGAAGCAAGGAAGACATGTTGCATGGAGTAATGCAGCATTCAGGTAATGAAAATCGAAAAGTGCAGGAGTGGCGGGACAGTGATAGGCGGATCTGCCAGCAGAATGAGGAGCACCGGCACAAAAGCGCGGTACTTCGGCAGCAAAGCATGGATCAGCTGATAAGCATAATGGAGCGCCAAGCGGACTCTATCCCAGCGCTCGGAGCCATGCAGGCTGAGCACTACCCCTCCCCCCCACCCACAGCCCTTGTCCCAAAACTCTTTCCCTTGTGCACCCATGTCGCCTCCTACCCACTTTCCCCAACATCCGGGTTCTTACTGCCACCAACTGCCTCCAACACCTGTAGCTTCACCACCCAGCCTTGAAAACTACGACCGTTACCCACTGCACTCAACCCCCATCACCATGCAGTATAACATCCTGAAGTGTAGCACTCATTGCACAGCACTCCAGACAGAAAGTCTGAGTATGAGAACAGGACATACAGAAACTTGTGATTGTACCGTTACCCACTCCACCCCCTTGCCCTTTCTGTTTCCCAAGCAGTTTTTTATTTTCAATAAATGGATTTTCTTTTCAATAAATGGATTTTTTTTTGGCTTTGAAAACATTCTTTATTATTACATAAAGTAAAGGATACTTTAGCCCAGGAAAGAAACAGGCATTGCAAGTCAGCATAGCAAACACAGATTCCTACTAATATTGGAACCACTGCACTTCACTCCTGTGCAGGGCACCAGACATTACTGGTGGCTTTCAGGCTCAAATTGCTCCCTCAAGGCATCCCTAATCCTTGCAGCCCTGCGCTGGGCCCCTCTAATAGCCCTGCTCTCTGGCTGTTCAAATTCAGCCTCCAGGTGTTAAACCTCAGAGTTCCATGCCTGAGTGAATTGTTTGCCCTTCCCTTCACAAATATTATGGAGGGTACAGCACGCGGATATAACTGCGGGGATGCTGTCATCGGCCAGGTCCAGCAGCCCTTAAATGGCCAAAAGCACACACTCCACAGTCATTCTGCACCGGCTCAGCCTGTTGTTGAACTGCTCCTTGCTGCTCTCAAGGCTCCTTGTGTAGGGTTTCATGAGCCACGGCATTAAAGGGTAAGCTGGGTTTCCAAGGATCACAGTGGGCATTTAGACTTCCCCTATGGTCATCTTCTGGTCTGGGGAAAAAAGTCCCAGCTTGCAGCTTCTTGAACAGGCCAGTGTTACGAAAGATGCGTGCGTCATGCACCTTTCCAGGCAGGCCTGTGTTAATGTCAGTGAAACGCCCACGGTGGTCCACAAGCACTTGGAGAAATACCCCTTCTGATTAACATACTCGGAGGCTAGGTGGGCTGGTGTCAGAATTGGAATATGCGTGCCATCTATTTCCCCTCCGTAGTTAGGGAAACCCATTTGTGCAAAGCTGTCCACAATGTCATGCACGTTTCCCAGAGTCACGGTTGTTCTGAGCAGGATGTGATTAATGGCTCTGCAACATAATTCCAATTGTCGACTTTCCCACTCCAAACTGGTTAGCGACAAATCGGTAGCTGTCTGGAGTTGCCAGCTTCCAGATTGCAATAGCCACCCGTTTCTCCACCATCATGGCAGCTCTCAATCTCGTGTCCTTGCGCTGCAGGGTGTGGGCGAGCTCCTCACACAGTCCCATGAAAGTGGCTTTTCTCATCCGAAAGTTCTGCAGCCACTGCTCGTCATCCCAGACTTGCATGACGATGTGATCCCACCATTCATTGCTTGTTTCCCAAGCCCAAAAGCAGTGTTCCACGGTGATGAGCATGTCTGTGAATGCCACAAGCAAACTCGTGTCATATGCGTTACTCGAGTTGATATCGTTGGAGCCCTCATTGTCACTTTGGATCATAAGGAATAACTCGACTGACAAATGTGACGTGCTGGCAAGACTCATCAGCATACTCCTCAGCAGTTCAGGCTCCATTCCCGCAGACCGAAAGGGAAGACAGCGCGTGCAGTACAAAAAACTTTGAAAGATGGTGCCAAATGTGGATGGAAGCACAGGGATTGCTGGGATGCGAAGCGATGCATCACGGGGCATTGGGACAGGACCCAGAATGACCCGCCCCCTTCCCACAAGCCATAGCGCCAGAATGGGAAGAGGTGCTCTGTGGGATAGCTGCCCATAATGCACTAATTCCAATGCCGCTGCAAGTGCCACAAATGTGGCCACGTCAGTGGACTTGTTCCTGTCAGTGTGGACAGACTGCAGCGCTTTCCCTACTGTGCTCTCCGAAGGCGGGTTTAACTCAAAGCGCTCTACATCTGCAAGTGTGGCCATGCCCTAAGTCTAGGTATTGTGAACACCTCCTACTGGTGAGTTCTTAAAACTTAAACAAGGAGCAGGCAAGGTGAAATGGTATTGCAACCTGAGCAATGCATTAATAGCCTGGAAAAACACACTTCCACAGAAATCTGGGAAAGCGTAACTTTGAATTCAGCTCCCCATTGTAAGGAGTCTTGGAACAGAAGAGGTTCCTTTTTAAATGGATATCATTTTAAGACTTCATCAGTTTAAGCAAATGGAAAAGAAACACAATTCCTAGTTGCATCAGCCACCACCAGTCCCTGACATTTACAAGACTTGAGATGACTCTCCTACAGTGATCCTTTCTGCAGAAACAAAGAAGCCGTGAGGTGCTGCAATACATTTCTGACTTCTCAGCAGATTTAGCCGTAGGAGTTTTTGGACTCGCCCCTTGTGGTTTGGAGCATGGTTCTCAAACTGATTTTGATGTAATGCTGTGCGATCCTGTAGTGCGTGTTGCAGTCTCCTTATCATGACATGAATGTAGGTCAGGGTGGGCAAACGTTTTGGCCCAAGTGCCACATTGCGATTTGCAAAACTGTATGGAGGGCCGGGTAGTGAAGGCTGTGCTCCCCGCAAACAGCCTGGCCCCCGCCCCCTCCCATTCCCGACTGCCCCGCTCAGAACCCCCTACCCATTCAACCCCCTCTGCTCCTTGTCCCCTGACTACCCCCTCCCGGGATCCCACCCCCTATCCAACCCCCCTGCTCCCAGTCCCCTGACAGGCCCCCTGGGACTGCCACGCCTATCCAACCCTGTCTCTCTCCCTGTCCCCTGACAGCCCTCCCCCCCCCCCCCCCGGGCCTCCCACGCCTATCCAACCTCCCCCATCCCCTGACCACCACCCCCTGAACCTCCTCCCCATCCAAACCTTCCTGTCCCCTGACTGCCCCCCAGGATCTCCTGCCCCTTATTCAACCTCCCCGCCCCCTTACCATGCCGCTCGGAGTGGTAGGAGCTCGCAGCCCCGTCGCCCGGCTGGAGCCAGCCATGTCACCACGCTGCCCGGGAGGAGCAGCGGGCCAGAGCGCTGGCGGCACGGTGAGGTGAGGCTGTGGGGGAGGGGGGACAATAGGGGAGGGGCCAGGGGCTAGCCTCCCAGGCTGGGAGCTCAGGGGCCAGGCAGGATGGTCCTGCGGGCTGTTGTTTGCCCACCTCTGATGTAGGTGATAAGGGAGGCGGTAACTGTTCTTCTAATACAGTGAAATTTGAGCGAGTGCCTTTGTCACTAAGTCTGACTTTTTAGTGAGATAAGAACTCATTTTTCCTGGAAGTACATTTGCAATAGTAGTTTCTCTAAGAGTATTCAATTCTGTTGCATGTTCCAGTCTCATCTTTTTGAACATAGAATCAGTCTCCATGGTGAACCTCTCAGCATCAATTTTAGATCATAGTTACACTTAGTGAAAGTTGCGGGAGGTGATGTCCTTTCGCTGAAAGGAAGACTGTTGGTTCTCAGGCTAAATAAATTAAAAGCTCCTCTGATGTAAAGTTGCCAACGCTCCAGTTAATCAGCATAAAAGCTTGAACTTAATACTCAGCACTGTCATTCAGGGTAGTGGTACAAGTCTATAAATTCCATGTAACCAGGATCTTCAGTTTTTTCTCGAAGACTGGAAGACCTGGGTACGATGAAAAGGGTTAAACATGGTTGGGGGAAGGGTAATTCTTGCATCAAAGCAAAGTGCTTTCCAGTGGAGCTACTTTAGTGATCACTCTTCTACGTCCAAGCACTCCATATGTACTTGATGCTGCTTCATTTCCGATACACTATCTTCTGCAAACCTTTGAACCATAGAACTGTCAGCAGCTGGGGAAAGTAGACTGCATGTTTGTGTCTCTAAAGACCTGCTCAGTGTTTGTTCAGCTTTTATTCGTTTCTTTGCAGGAATTGACTACAAGACCACCACTATCTTGCTGGATGGCAGAAGGGTCAAGTTGGAACTCTGGTGAGTTTACGTTTCTAAGCTATCTTGGCAGCAGGCCCAGTGTCTCCGAACATGGTGACGTCTCTGCGTGACTGAAGAGGGAATATAGATAGCTTTTGAAAGCATGCTTCAATTCACTTGTAATGCTGTAAGAAATGCTAGCCTACTGCTCGTTCCCCTTTTCATTAGAATCAGAGGAGTAGCCCTGTTAGTCTGTATCCACAAAAACAAGGAGTCCGGTGGCACCTTAAAGACTAACAGATTTATGAAGAGTTTAAACAACATTTGTGTTGTAGTCTGAGTCTAGGTATTGTGAACACCTCCTAATGGTGAGTTCTTGAAACTTTTAAACAAGGAGCAGGCAAGGGGAAATGGTTTTGCAACCTGAGTCATGCATGAATAGCCTGGAAAACACTCTTCTACAGAAATCTGGGAAAGCATAACTGAATTGAGCTCCCCATTGTAAGGAGTCTTTGAACAGAAGAGGTTCTTTTTTAAATGGATATCATTTAAAGACTTCATCAGTTTAAGCAAATGAAAAAGAAACACAATTCCTAGTTGCATCAGCCACCGCCAGTCCCTGACATTTACCTCTGACATTTACAAGACTTGATATGACAAGACAGTTTACCTAAGCTGCTTTGGTGCAATTAGTGTCCCTCTTCATCATATAACTCACATTGTAGCATTAATACAGATCCTCTTTTCAGTGTGTGACTAATGAAAATTTGGGATACATAATCAAATTTTTTTGTTAGCTGGATTCCCACACTCTAAAACTATAGTCAGCCGACACTATCTGCACATCCAGTCCCAGCAACCAGACCACCATCCTCTATTCCCAGTGTGGTCTCATTTCATCCTCCTCCAGCATGTCACCCGATTCCCACACAACCTTCCCGCGCTTAAAAAAAAAAAAAAAATCCTTTTTCGGCTACAAATGCCTAGCTTCCCAGATCACACAGGGAAAGAAGGAAAGGAACCTAGTTGTGGGGCTCCACGTCTGTTTTCAGAGAGCTGGCCCTGGATTTTGTTGGGCCCTGGCTTCCACCCTTTAGGTTAAGAGTTGGAGTGAGGGGGAACCCTATGATGAGAAGGGAACAGACCCCAAAACAAAAAGGGCATAGACTGCATTCAGTTTCTTGAACAGGGCTTACTTCAATAACATGACTCTGTAGCAGAGAACAATGAGAATGGAGAGTGATATTTGCATGAAGAGTCCTTGGTGGGCAAGTAGGAATTGCAAGACTGGATCAGACTTGTGGTCCATCTAGTCTAGTATCTTGCATCAGGGGCCTGCACCAGGTGCTTCAGAGAAACATCTAAGAACCCTGAAGCATATAGGTCTCACCCTGATCTAATAGAGATTGACTTAAGCCCTGAAGCATGAGGTTTTAATATCCTTTCCACAAATTGTGTACCATTATGAAAACACTGGATATTTGTTGTTCCTGTAAATGTTCATCTCTTTTTGAATCCTGTTAAGTTCTTGGACTCTGTGTTCTGTTGCACTGAGTTCTATAGTTCAATTACATGTGTGAAAAGATGTTTCCTTCTACTAGCTTTGAATTCCCCTTTTCATTTGATTGACTGTCCCACTGTTATGTGACAGGGAGAACAGAAGTTCCCAGTCTTCCTTTGCTGCTTATATAGATAGCAATCCCGATGTATCATGTCCCCTCTTACTCGCCATCTTTCAAAGGTAGCAGTCCTAGTCTTTTCAGTAATTCTTCAGAGGAGAATTTTCCTAGGCCTTTTGTCTTTTTCATTGTCCTTATCTGAACCCCTCTAATCCTGAAATATCTTTTTGGAGATGCAGTGAGCAGTACTGCATGCACTATGCAGATGAGGCCACACCTTTTCATTTATATAACAGCATTATTATAATCTCAGTATTAATCACCATCTTATTCCTTTTGCAATCTAATATTTTGTGTGCTTTTTTTGATGATAGCTGCACATTAAGCAGAAGTCTACATTGAGCTATCACAGTGATGCCCAGGTTCCATAATGTGACATTTCAAAGCTTAATTTGAGTGCAGTGCTGTGTTGAAACTTAAAGCACATCTGAGTCTATCAGGCAGCTGATGAGTCTGAAATTGAGTCCCTGGGAAACTTGATCCAGGGTGATCAGAATTCCCATTGCTTGTTGACGTGCACCTCCCAGATCAGTATCGAATGGACACAACAGGCCCAGAAGATCTCCCAGTGCACTGTCTGGTTAGCCTGACCTCGGATTGTACTTCAGTAGACATTGCTTAGATCACTATGCTGTGCTCCAGCATAATCTCCCAGATGTCCACAAGTGCTCATTGAAATTCTGTGTTAATGTCAAGTTTTAAATAAACTTCAAGGAATTACTTATACCTACAAATAAAGAGTTGAGGTGTTTAGTGTCTGTAACGCACCCTGTCGTGCCTGTGTGCTGCAGAATACGTTGTATTGCTGTGTGCTGTTCCCAATGGTGTGTGTTGTGAAGTATCTGCACACATGATGGATTTACACCCAAGGAGGACTGGATGTAAAGGTCTCTCCTATAGCCAGAAAGGGTCACTGATACAGCTTCCTTTCAAAAGGGCTTCAGAATGGATGAGCTCAAGGAGGACTTTCTCATTGCCACTTCAAAAAAAAAAAAAAAAAAAAAAGTTTAAATACAAATGTTAAGAGCATAGGCTAGGTCTGCACCATTGCCAAAGAAGGGATTCCTAGGCCAGTCTCACTTGGAGCTAAGCGAAATTAAAGAGAGGATGCCCTGCCCTTTTGAATAGTGACTTGGTTTGCCTCTTGGTTCGTCATGGAGAGGGCTGCAGGTTTGTTATGGATATGTTGATTTTCCTGTTTTGTCCTTGACTTGTCTTTGTCTCGGTGACTCACCCTGCAGCGACAGCTCCTGTCCTGTGGGACTGGGCCTGGCTCCGGCTTCTTACTCTGGGTATGGTGACCTGGTGTGCAGGATCACAGCACCGCTCCTGTTTGGCCCACCCATCATGACAAGGGGCCAGCCAGTCCAAACCTGAGTGGTGCTGTCACCCTGTGTGCCAGGTCACCATGCTCAGAGTGGGGAGCCGCCGCTGCAGGGTGAGTGCAGGATGGGCTTGCTCTTCAGCCCCATTGCTGCGACCCCCTCCTCATCAATCACAACATTTTCTATTAAAAATCTCAAAATCCATGATTTTTACTAAATTTACCATGACTGCTTTGTAACTTTTTATTTAAAAATGCTGTGATAAATTGGCAGCCCTAATCATGGAGTAGTGCTGAGAAGGTGCAAATAGAGTACTGCTCCACGGGAAGGATGATGACTGCAGCAGGGGACTTCCTGGTATATCATAAAGGTGGTCACCTATTGGGGAGGAAAAACTTTCCAAAATCACGTAAAAGCATCTTGCAGAGCAGCACACATTCCCTCCAGCTGCCAGGTACTATGCACATACAAAGAGATCAGGTGTGACTATCTGATGGGTTGGTTCATACTTAAGTCTGGAGAACCCCCTACTGACGAGAGACTCGTCTGTCTAACTCTTCTCAATTTGTTGGATTTTCTGTTTCAGGGACACATCTGGCCAGGGGAGATTCTGCACCATTTTCAGATCCTACTCCAGAGGTGCTCAGGTAAGCACTACCAGCATTGCTGCCCTGGACTAGGCCTGCGCACCATCAAAGTTCTCCAGGCGAATGGGAAACAAGTTAATGCCCAACAGCACCATCCAGCATCTCATGTTTCCCTTCTGATGTCCTGGCCCTGCCCTTCTGATCAGCATATGCACAAATGGGGAGACTTTCTCCAGGGGGTTGACTTATACTATTGCAGTGGAATACAAACAGTGCTCCACTCTACTAGATAGCACACTGTAGGTGGTCTGAGGAGGTATGGTTACTAGTATAGATCATGTGGGGCAGTCTTTGCACTGGATCTGCGTTAGGGTTAGGTTGGAGTTCAGGATTTTGGCTGAAAGCTGACTTGATAAGCCTCAAATGACAGGAAACTCACGAGACCAGCTTTACCTAGTCTGTTCCAGTTCCAGAAAATGAGCCTCTTCAGTTTATGTACTTGACCTGGGCCTTAAACCAGAAGGGCTGGTTTAGATGTGGTATCTCAGCCCTTAAAATGTGGGGGTGAAGGCTTAGAATGTTACTGCTGGGGGAAGTTTACGCACAATATTTTAAAATTCTGTATATTTTATTTGTCAGAATAACACAATATAATAATTTCAGTTTCAATTATTTTGGTAAATTGATTTCAAAATAACTGTCAACAAGTATCTCAACAGTACAGATAACAGCAAAAAAGATTCCCTCAGGAGTAGAGAGTTAATGAAACCCCTACAACAATCCAGTTTCATTTGGGGTGCTGGAGGGGACTGTGTGAGGGCCTTCTAGCCCAGACACCCGCATCTCCCATCCCCCCAGAACCGAGCCACTGGGCATCTCCCAGCCCACACACCCACATTCCCCCTCCCCCAAGAGCCCAGCTGCAGTGCAACCCCCAGCCCAGACACCAGTATCCCCAGAGCCTTTACTCCCCCCAACTTCTTTACTGTTCCGCCAGGGGACGTGGTGTGATGCAGCCCTGCCTTTCCTCACCCTTTGTCACAGCTGGCTGGGTCCCTCAGGCCCTCTCCTTCCTGGGAGAATGAGGATCCAAGAACGTGCAGCCTCCAGCCCTGCCAGGCTGGGCGTTCTGCTCATTGGAAGCTGAGCTCTGCAGAGTCCAGTGGCCCCTAATGGAGGCCAGAAATTCTGCGGGGGAAACAGGGAATTCTTCAAAATTCTGCATTCCTCAGTGGCACAGAATTCCCCCAAGTGTAGAATGTGAACCTCTGCTTTGGGCCCAGCTCCAGAGTAGAGACTCAGTCTAACCCAACATCTCTCATTGACGTCTAAGATCTCATGACTCAGACCCTGCCCAGTTCTCTGAATAGTTGTCCCTAGTTACCACAGCAGTATGGCATCACTAACTAAATCTCTCTGGTAGAATGATATGCTCCATGGAATAAAGTCCCCTTAAGCCAAATAAACTTAGGCTGCTCATTTCTCTGGCCCAGAGGGGCTCTGGAAAATATCCCTCTGACGCCTTTTCAAGAACCAGTTGTTGTCTAAAGGCTCACTGACTGGACCAGTACATCCAGCAATTACCTACGGCCTCAGCCTCTGAATTTCTGCCACTTCAACTTAATCTCTCACTGTTTTTGCTCTTTGGATTTCACTACCCAGAGCTGTTAAGCTACTTCTCCAGCTGGGAGGCCATCATGCCTTCTTTCCTTAAGACTTCCTACAAATGTACTTGAGATCTAGACATGCGAGCACGAGACTGCATACCATGCGTGGTCTCCTCCAAGTGTCACATTTAGTTCTTTTATGTACAAACCTCTAGTGTTGTGGATGGTTCTGTGGGGTGTCTCTCTGGCTGCTGCTAACTCTATGGCTCTCTCAATGAGGAGCAGCAGCACCTCATGCTATGATTTGTGTGTGTGTGGAATGGGGGAGCACAGAGTTCCTGTACATGCACACCTAATATAATACAGGAACTTTCAGAGTAACTCCCCTTCCTGCCCCTGAGCAAGTTCTGCCCCAAAGTTGCATTCCAGGGGGCTCTAGAAGAACTCCACTCCTGGTAAAACATGTGTAGTCAGGACAGGTCTTTGTCCCATCCAACTTCTGATACCATGTGGTATTTTGATGATCAAATGAAATTTGACCAAAACCAATCTTTTCCGGTTCCTGAAACCTTATTAGAGTCAAATGCACAAACCAAACTCTTGACAGACAGAGATGGCTGATTACAAACCAGGGTTGAGTCCCTCTAGATTTCCTAATCATCCTGACAGGAAACACCAACTGACAGCTCCTACCTCACTCTGCAGGATTCAAAGATACAAGCTGCTCTCCAAACTATTGCTGTTAGAAGCTTTCTAACTTACAATCAAAGTTTTTTGGAGCAGGGACATCTCTAGGTCAGTGTACAGTGTCTAGTGCAAGGGGGTCCTGATCCATGACTGGGGCCTCTAGGCGCTACTACAATACAAGTACAAAAATGAAGGAGAAACAAAAGGCTAAAGAAGCAGCCTTGCAGTGTGTAGCAACCTGTTACCATGTCAGAACTGGAATGGAGTTATACCTAGGGTGACTGTATGTCCCATTTTGACCAAGACAGTCCCTTTTTTAAGCCTTGTCCCAGCCATCCTGACTTTTTTGGCAAAAGTGGGCATTTGTCCCATTTGCTCTTACTAACTGGTGATCAGCTGGCACCAGCAAACGGGACAAATGCCCACTCTTGTCAAAAAAGTAGGGTGTGGAAGAATGTGTGGGGGCGAGCAGCAGTGCCAGCCTCTGGGAGGGGAAGGCAGGGCTTGAGTGAGCGGCGATCCCAGCCCCGCATAAGGGGGAGGCGGGACTTGAGTGTGCAGCAACGCCATCCCCAGCCCCATGCAAGGGGCAGGCAGGGCTCGAGCGAACAATGATGGGGGGGCCGGGGGATACAGGGCTTAGGTGAGCAGCTCAGGCCCGTGTGGTGTCCTGTTTTTCCCTTTGGGAAATATGATCACTCTAGTTATACCACTAGAAATCAAAATAAATAATGCAAGATGGCTGCATTGGATAACCACTTAATTCCTGTAACTAGACCTGTCCTCAGCACTGCTGTCTGTTGGAGTGACTTGTGGTGTGATAAGGTGCCACAGAGGGGCAGCCTCTTATTGAAACTGAATTGGGAGAGCTGACTTTCAGTCTCAAATGGAGCATTTTCTTAGGCAGTAGCTTCCCTCCCTCCCCTATACAAGAGTGTTGGGCGTTTCCTTTGAATGGCAGAGTCTGGAACTGCTGGTGTTTGCACACATCCAACAATGCCTGCACCAGCACCCCACAGTGACCAACAAAAGCTTGAAAGTGTTTATCTATATGGAAAGTATGCCTCACTTACCTTCCCTGCATACTTTGCCACCAGGGAGCAGTCTGTGAGGGATGTGATTTGATTTTTTTTTTAAAGATTTTTTTAGCCCAGACCTTACAGCTGATCTGGGTGGCAGGGGTCATTTTAGTATAGACAAAGGACTGTGTGCAGGGATGTACATAGAGCTGCCAGTCAGCAGGGGGCTTATGTAGCAAGGTACAACTTCTGTCTTCCTCAAAACTTCTGGATTCTGCGTAGCTTGTAACTTCCCTTTCCACAGGTGCACCTCTTTTGCTTGTTAAGTGATCCTAAAGGTTGAGTGTAAATAGTGAGTGAGCTGACCTATTAAAAAGCAAAAGGATACGAAATGAAAACCTCTCTGCAGCATGTGAATGCAATTTCCACTGCAACCTTATAGCATTGTTCTCATGAGACAAGCGTTTGTATGTGAAACTTGGGCACTTTTTGGAGGCTAAGGACAGGAAGCCCAGGGATCCTTCCACTGTGTGGTTTGTAATAACCCTTCATTCAATACTAGTAGCTGGAAGCCCATGCTGTAATTTGTAAAGTCATGTGTTTTAAAAAAAAAAAAAAAAAAGCTGAGAATTTAGAAATTAGGCAGTTTCAGACGGCAAATCCCTGTGATTGCACCTGGTCATATTCTAAACAAAAATAGCTGTTAACTGTGGTTGTAGCTGTTTCCATCAGTTCACACTGATTCAACAGCCGTTCTAGGATTCAAAGCGACACACAGCATGATGTTCTTGAAATCCTACTCTGTAGAGGAATAGATTAACATAGGCTGATCACTAATTCTAAATTTTAACGGCTGTCTTGAGTTTGGTGCCTACTGTCCTTCATGGTAGAATGAACTGTGTAGCCTGAGCTTTCGCTGAAATATTTGTGCAGATCTCAGGGTGTCTTTGTATCGAGACTAAAACATTGCAGAATGAGGTCCCTTTAAATAAATCATGCTCGCTCTTTCTCATGAAGCTGGCCACATGTTTTAGGAAAAGGGCCATCCTAGTTTAAACTGCTCTTTAAGTAGCCAAGCAAAGGGAAGGGACTGGTTGCACCAGAAGGTAGAATTTTCTGCAAGGATGGGCTTTGGTGCATTAATTTCTTAGCACCACCTTCTGGCTCTTGAAAAGGCTCCTACAGACTTGACACTAGACTGTCATCTTTGCCCTTTTCTCTGTTTGAAAGCTACCATTCACCAAGAGCTGAGTTTCAGGCTCCTAGCTATAAAAGCCAAGCAGCTGCTTGGTCTGAGAAGCATCTCCTCTTCAGGGAGGTTGCACCTGACTCTGGTGCGGAGAATGAATGGAGTGGGGAGAGCAAAACTTCTGTGGAAGTTTCCTTAAGAAATTTGGCCCTAATTACCATGGACTGGGAAGCAATCTCAGAATGGGAAGAGAATCTGCCTTGACGATTCCCTTTCCCATACTGTACATCTTCTCATTCAGCCCAAGCTCTGGACTGTGAGAGGAGATTAGTCCGCATTAACAAGGAGGCATGTGTCTTGAACACTTTGCAGTATCTGCAGATTGCGCACTATCAGTGTGTCTTGGTTACTGGACTTGGTAAACAACGTTACATACTTTTATGGGTCACCTCAATTTGGCACATGCATTGTTCTTCTGGAAAAAGTCAGTCATTGGAAGTATCAGGATTGGACAAACCTCATTGTCCAAAATTAACCAATTTCAGATATTGGGCAATG